AATTCTCTCTTTTTTTTATCTTAAAATGGCGGTTCCAATCAACAGAACACCAAAGTTTCATATCAACAAAGTAAACCATGAATTCTGAAAGAAACCCATTAATCTTGGCGGCTGGTATTTGCTTAATACTAAAGACAGAAGAAAAATATCACGTTTTCAAAATCAATAGTGTAAAAGTAAACAAAAATTGGAATGAGATAAATTTAGATGAGAAATTAGAATACATCTGAAGAAATAGGCAAACTTGCAGAGCTGCAGAGCATCAATGGGGATCTCTGTATCTTTCTTGATTTTAAACTTGGAGATAAAATATTGAGGAAACAATCCATTGAAATGAAAAGTGGACTTTTCTCGATAATTGCTTAATATTGAGGATCTCTGTACATTTCTTATCCGACTATTTTTTTTAATGAAACAACGATGGAGATGGGGTTTGCAGTGATGGAGAAGATGACCGGAAAAAAATGGTGTATTTTCCGAAAAATCACAGGTGATCGGTATATTTATCGATTTAATATCGATCATATTATATTTTTTGATTTAACACTCGTAGCATTAAAGCTCGTCCCCTGAACCGTGTTATATGCTGATTTGGCGCCACGTGAGGTATAGCGCGCCCCCTGCATCGCGCGGATCGGGGGTGAATTATATTTAACGAATAATTACATATAGCACGGTGCAGGTATCACGCCTTATATGGTTATACATACCTCCTCTGCCGGTTAAGTTTCTCACATCTCCTCGCATCTCTCCTCTCAACTTAAAAATCCAAGTTTATTGAGGGATCGTGGTCATCCAAAATCCAATCGAATTCATTGCGATATGGATATTCGAGAAAGATCTAGACAAGACAAAAGATGTAGCCATTGTAGAAACCCATGACACACTAGAAAAACATGTCCACTTCTGTTGTCATCAAGTAACAATTGATAAGGAAATGATGTATTTGTTTATCAAATAATAATTCTTCTATTTTAATTTGCATTTACTTCAAATTAATGTCATTCGATAATCGCTGATTAAGATTAAAAAAACGAACACAATCATTAAATTTTATCAAACTAATAACAATTTGGTATTTAAATACAACAAACTTACAATAAGAATTAAATGATAAATGATAACCAAATTACAATAACTAATATTAAATGGTAATAAACAAAATTAACTTAAATATATTGGAAAAAAAGTCCTACAAATTTAACAAAATAAAGTAAGTATTAAATGAAAAATAATAAAAAATTACAATTAAACAAAATAAAGTAAATACAAATATAAAAAAATCTATCGATGTCTGCGTCGTGAATGTGTTCCGCAGGGCGGTGGCTGTCGGTCTCGAGGAGGATTTCTTCGTATCAATGGTTCTGACTCCTCGCTGTCATCATCATCGTCATCGTCGTCGTCGTCGTCCTGAGCAGGTACATTAGGTTAATGAGGAGCTGATGACGATGAAGCACCTCCATAGAATAAGGACCCTGGAGGTGTATGACTGACTATCCCACCGGCTTGCGAAAACTGGGAAAATTGGGAAAACCCAGACATCGCTGAGTGTGAAAACTGTACAGGAGGTGTTTGTGCTGCGGCCATTGGTGATGAGGCTGAACCCGTCAAATATCCAGCATATGAACCCCAAGTCGGATCTGCAAACATAGACCCATAATAGCCTCCAGGAGGGGTCATCTGTGACGGTGACGGCGGCGGGGTCATAAAACCATGTGAAGGCGGCGGCGGCGGCATCTAGTAATGGAAAGGCGATGGCGGCATCATATATGGCTGCGGTGGCTGCTGTGAAGGTCCTACTGGTGCAGCTGAGGATGAACCGGAAGCACTTGCTCTCCGTCCACGAGTCGGGGGACGATGGTGCTGTGTCGGATCACGTCTCTGTCAACGTCGTGGAAAGGTCTGCCCTCGTGCATCCTCGGGAAGTAAAAACGGTTTCCCGTTACTGTTGAACCACTCATAATAACCGTCAGCATACATCAAGAGGTCATCAAAAATGGGGCTCTCTACGGGAAAAGCGCCGATGTCGATCCTCCCACAACACGACTCACTCATGATGCCTCACCAGCCAATATGTATCTGTCTTGCCACGTCTATCTAAGCTATGCAACTCGTCCATATTGCGAGGTGCTTCCGGAATTGGTTGAAAACAACCAAACTGCCGGAGCACGCGATCAGTGGAGTGCCACTCGACGGTCGCATAACAGATCAGAGGGACCATCGCCATCCAAACATCTGATGGACCCCTCAACTCAGGTGGGATCACCGCCCTCACATCATCAGTAGAATATGGCATCTATTCAAACTAAAACAAATAATATATAATTTTTATCAAAATAATAATCTAATTATATAACTATAATCTAAAATCGATTTTTAAACATTAAAATTCATACCTGTATGCCAGCCTTCTGATCGATTAGCACCCTAATTTTTTCTAAATCATCAAGTAGCTCCTGATGATTTTCCGTATCAATAGATCACCTATTCAAGGAAAAAAAAATTTATTATACGCTGTATAAAATTATTAATATACAAAATCAGTTTTATAATTACCTCAGAAGTAGTGGAAATACGAATGGGTTCTTCACAACGGGACATAAAAAGGGCAATCGATACCATGCCCAAGACTGCAGCAGTAGGAGACATCCGCCGATAGCATTACGCCTGTAGTCAGTGGCTCCACACATCTCCCTGTACAACAAAGCCAAAACTGCCGAGCCCCAACTGAATGATCCGACGAGACGAAAGTCGCTAAGATGTCGCAACCACATGCAGTGAACTAGGTTGCGCGATTTGTCCGGCATCAGCAACCCTCCTATCAACTGCAATATGCATGTCCGTGCATACATCTTAACCTCATCCTCAGAGGCGTCTACGCTAAACTCTTGAAAATTGGCATATAACCAATTTAACGGTATCCTACCTCCGATAAAACTTTCTGGGACACGTCCTAGATTATCCCGACACAAAGTAGTCCAAGAACCGGAAGCTATCCCTGATATCACATCTCCATCCACCGGAAGCCCCAGGTGCATAGAAACATCCTCAAGCGTGATCGTGCACTCTCCGCGCGAAAAGATGGAATGTGTGGGTCTCCGGCCTCCACCGCTCTACTAAAGCAGAAATAAGGTCTGGTTCTATCTTACAGTGACCCTGATATCTACCTTTGTAACCAAATCTAGCCTATACTAAATACGGCAAGACACGGCTAGGTATCACTAACTTAAGATTCCTAATAAAAAGATCTAATACACGGTCATTCTCCTAAAAATAAATAATTACAAAAATTAATTCTTAATCTAATAATCATGCATTAAATAAATCAACTAATTATTATTAATAATTTAAATTAAATTAAAACGTTAAAATGTTATCGTATCAGCAAAGTGCCGAGATATATGATTTCCATCCAAGAGAAGTAGACTGTCTTCTATTATATATATGCAAAAGAATTATATTAGTAAAATATTAAATAAAGTAAAATAATTAAATAAATTAAATACATAATATTAAAAATATTATAAAATATAACTTAAACAGAGAGAGTATTTAAGAGAATTTGAGAGAATTTGGTGTGATGAAAGTGATTGAGGATGAGGATATTTATAGGGAGGATTGGGGGTGTGAAGCGTCGGGGGTATGGGGGTAATTATGGGTATAGCGCGCCCCCTGTACCGCGCTATACCCCACGTGTCAGATAACCAGGTATAACGCGGCATCTGATCCGCGCTATACCCCTACGTGGCGTATAGCACGGATCAGGGGCCGCGCTATATCCATGTGTAATCTATGTCAGCGTATAGCGCGGTGCAGGGGGCACGCTATACCCCACGTGACGCCAAATCAGCATATAGCGCGGGGCAGGGGGCGCGTTTTACTGCTACGAATGTTAAATCGAGAAATATAATCTGACCGGTGTTAGATTGATAAATATACCGATCACCGGTGATTTTTCGAAAAAAAATACCAAAAAATGAGGTTTGCGCGCAAGTAAGAAAAAAAGATCATATTATTAAAATGGTAAATTAAAATTTTATCCATAATCAAATTCAAAGGGTTTCATAATTAATATTTCATATAATGTTAAGAGATTAAAATAAAAATCAAACTATTTTACTAAAGTACCATATCATTAACTTAACGTCATTTAATGTCTTAGTGACAAAAACTTAATAAAACGATAACGTAAATAATTACATATTATGTTTTTTAAAATTAGTAAAAAAAAGTAGACAAAACATAAACAAAAGTGATTAACTACGTAGTTAACTTTTTTTAATATAATATTTAAACTATTTAAATTTTACTCTAATCATAAATACATATTAAAATATATTTAAATTTATATCTTTTTTAATATTATAAAATCGAGATCAGGTGGGATGCAAAGGTACCCTTAACAAGTCACACTTGGCTTGTCTATACAGTCAAGTTTTATTATCCAAATTTAGTATCTTGAAAAGCAAGGAAATGTAAGCATTTAAATAGAGATTAGTAGTTATACTGTGAGATGAGGATTTTCAGCAATTGAATCGCTCTCCATAAACCACATTATTTATTTAAGTTTGACTGATAAAAAAGAAGTCTCATTTTTGTTTCCTAGAGAGAGGGAATGAATTAGTAATAGCTGAGGATTCTGGTAAGCAACCCAATTCCTCGTTGCCTTTGATTAATTTAGTGAAAGTTAATATTGATTAATGGATTCATTAGGGTTCTGATTTCTAACGTCTAAAGTGTAAAAAGTGCAAGTCTTGGCATTGTGAGAAAGAGGGTACTCTTTGTTTTCATTTTTATTGCGTTGTTATTATCTCAGAGAACAATATATGATTAGTGGGTTTTTGTTTGATTTACTTTGTAGAGATCATGGTGTTTCAATAAATTTCATTGCTTTGAGTTCCATTATTGAAGGAACTTTAATAAAGTTTCAGCTTTTATCTTCAGCTTCTCTGATATTTCTTCAATTGCATGCAGACAAATTTCTTTGGCATTGAATTTCAATGGGGAGTGAAACTGGCAGTGCTGCCTCGTCCAAGCGAGAAACGTTTCCAGCTTGGGCAAGAGATGTGAAACAATGTGAAGAGAAGTACCAAGTGAATCGAGAACTTGGATTATCGAGTGCCGAGGTTGAAAAAAGGAGGCAGATTTGTGGATGGAATGAGTTAGAAAAACACGAGACGACATCGATGTTTAAACTACTTTTGGAGCAATTTAATGACACATTAGTTAGGATACTACTGGCTGCTGCAATTATATCGCTTGTTTTAGCTTGGTATGATGGTGAAGGAGGGGAGAAGGAGATAACAGCTTTTGTGGAGCCACTTGTCATTTTCTTGATCTTGATAGTGAATGCCATTGTTGGAATATGGCAAGAAAGTAGTGCGGAAAAAGCATTGGAGGCTTTGAAGGAAATTCAATCAGAGCATGCAAATGTAATTCGAGATGGTAAAAAGGTCTCGAATTTGCCTGCAAAGGAATTGATCCCAGGAGATATTGTGGAGTTGAGAGTTGGTGATAAGGTACCTGCCGATATGCGGGTTTTGAGTATGATAAGCTCAACTGTAAGGGTTGAACAAGGGTCATTGACCGGGGAGAGCGAAGCTGTGAGCAAGACAGTGAAGGTTGTTCCCGAGAATTCGGATATTCAAGGGAAGAAATGTATGGTTTTTTCTGGAACAACTATGGTCAATGGAAACTGTCTTTGCTTGGTCACCGAGATAGGCATGAATACAGAAATTGGGAAGGTGCATTCACAGATTCATGAAGCATCACAAAGTGAGGTAGATACCCCATTAAAGAAGAAGTTGAATGAGTTTGGAGACCTTTTAACTCTGATAATTGGACAGATTTGTTTATTGGTTTGGCTTATTAATGTGAAATATTTTCTTTCTTGGGAATATGTCGATGGTCGGCCAACAAACTTTAAGTTCTCATTTGAGAAGTGCACATATTACTTTAAAATTGCTGTGGCATTGGCTGTTGCTGCAATTCCAGAAGGTTTACCAGCAGTTATTACAACATGTTTGGCACTAGGAACCCGAAAGATGGCTCAAAAGAATGCACTTGTCCGCAAGTTGCCTAGTGTTGAGACTCTCGGTTGCACAACTGTTATCTGTTCTGATAAGACGGGAACTTTAACCACCAATCAAATGGCTGTTTCAAAGCTTGTTGCTGTAGGTTCAAGGTGTGGCACTCTGCGATCTTTTGAGGTGGAAGGGACTACTTATGATCCTTCTGATGGGAAAATACAAAGCCGGCCTATTGATGGAATGGATGCCAATCTTGAAATGATAGCTAAGATTTGTGCTGTTTGCAACGATGCGGGTGTTGAGCAATCTGGGAATAAATTTGTTGCCACTGGAATGCCTACAGAGGCAGCACTAAAGGTGAAAAGCCAAATTTTCTTAAATGCATCTGTTTGAATAAACCCATGCTAACATGAAGCTGGAGCAAAAAAATAGAAAAACTTAACTTTGAACCTTTTCTCGTAGCATATCTCGAATATAAATTATGTTCTTTTAAGTAATAGAACAGGGATGCCTAGCATAAAAAAAATTCTATTGCTTCTTTTTGTTGCATCAGAACCATTCTGCTTTAAGCTATGTTAAATGCACGACTTGTTGAAATTTGCAATGTGCCTTTACTTTTGCAGAGTGTAAACATACAAGTATATATGAAAAGTTCGTGTTGCGTAGTTTCCTCTCAGTCATTCTCGATTTCATTTCAGGTTCTCGTTGAGAAAATGGGAGTTCCTGAGAAGTATGGCTCCTCTTCAGGTCATGGGGATATTCAACGTATGTCAGCTGGTTTGTTTCCTATAATTTTATTGCCTTATTAGGTGGCGATTTCCTTTATATGGCACTAAGCTTTCTGTTTTATTTTATCATGCAAAACAAGGCTGCTGTCAACTGTGGAACAAAATGATGAAAAGGATTGCAACACTCGAGTTTGACCGTGATCGAAAGTCTATGGGAGTCATTGTGAATTCCAGCTTAGGGAAAAAGTCATTGCTAGTAAAGGTTATTCATCTTCTTTTCCTTGTAACATGGACTGAACACTTTTTGATTTGTTTACGTTGCTTATGTGTTCTCTTCTGGTATCGTTTATTTCTTTTCTTCTTGCTACCGGTAAATTTTATCGTGACGATTTCTTCTGGTTAAGGTTTTTCTCTACATCCTTTCCATATGTCATTCTAAATGAAATGCTTAATGTTGCAGGGTGCTGTGGAGAATTTATTGGAGAGAAGCTCTTTTATCCAACTACTTGATGGCTCTGTCGTAGAACTAGATCAATATTCAAGGGATCTCATCTTACAGATCCTTCGTGAAATGTCAACCGATGCATTGCGTTGCCTTGGTTTCGCATATAAGGAGGAGCTTCATGAGTTTGCAACATATAATGGTGATGAAGATCATCCAGCTCATCAGCTCTTGCTTAATCCCTCCAATTATTCTTCAATTGAGAGCAACCTTATTTTCGTTGGTTTAGTTGGGCTAAAGGTAGGTTGCTTTGGTTTTCATTTGTATTTACTGTTTTCCTACTTTTTTTCTATCCTTGTATCTGACCCACTTGAACAAAACCATTAAGGATCCTCCTCGGAAAGAGGTTCGTCAAGCAATTGAGGACTGCAAAGTGGCCGGGATTCGCGTTATGGTTATTACAGGAGACAATAAGAACACGGCAGAAGCTATTTGTCGTGAGATCGGTGTATTTGGATCTCATGAAGATATCAGTTCAAGAAGCATAACCGGAAGGGAGTTTATGGATCATCCTGATCAGAGAAATCACCTGAGACAGAGTGGAGGTCTATTGTTTTCTCGGGCCGAGCCAAGGCACAAACAGGAAATAGTGAGATTGCTGAAGGAGGGTGGTGAAGTGGTTGCAATGACAGGCGATGGAGTTAATGATGCTCCTGCCTTGAAGCTGGCCGATATTGGAATAGCAATGGGCATTGCTGGGACAGAGGTATCCACCCTCCATTTCTGTACACTTTGGTGGATTACATTTTGGTATCCATTATGTTAGATTTGTACTCCATTCTCTATCACCCCGTCATTTTTCGATCGTTTCTTTACAGGTTGCAAAGGAGGCCTCTGACATGGTGTTAGCAGATGATAACTTCAGCACTATAGTTGCAGCAGTTGGTGAGGGAAGATCCATTTACAACAACATGAAGGCTTTTATAAGGTTATTATTGTTACGTTTTCTCAATTCTTTATAACATGAAAATGAGCTGTCAATGTTGTATATCTTCATCACAATTGCAGGTACATGATCTCCTCCAATATCGGCGAGGTTGCTTCGATATTTTTAACAGCGGCTTTGGGTATTCCAGAGGGCATGATCCCAGTTCAGCTTCTCTGGGTTAATCTCGTTACTGATGGACCGCCAGCAACTGCTCTCGGATTCAATCCCCCAGACAAGGATATAATGAAGAAGCCTCCCAGAAGAAGCAATGACTCATTAATCACTGCTTGGATCTTGTTCCGCTACCTTGTAACTTGCTTTATTCTCCTTTGCTATCGTCGACGACTTCAAATGACCAAAAGATGTGAGCTAACTCGTTTTCTTTGTCGATGCAGGTGATTGGATCCTACGTCGGGTTAGCCACAGTTGGGGCATTCATCATATGGTACACACACCATAGCTTCATAGGCATTGACCTGAGCTTAGATGGGCATAGTCAGGTTACTTACACCCAACTAGCCAACTGGGATCAATGTTCTTCCTGGGAAAATTTCACAGCGTCACCATTCACAGCAGGTTCTCAAGTATTCAACTTTGATACGAACCCGTGCGATTATTTTAAATCCGGAAAGATCAAAGCATCAACACTTTCACTCTCTGTTTTGGTCGCCATTGAAATGTTCAATTCCCTGAACGCCCTATCTGAAGATGGAAGCTTGTTGACGATGCCTCCTTGGGTCAACCCATGGCTCCTTTTGGCCATGTCGATCTCATTCGGGCTCCATTTCATGATTCTGTACGTACCATTCCTTGCACAAATATTTGGGATTGTTCCACTCAGCCGCAACGAATGGTTCCTGGTATTGGCAGTTGCTTTCCCGGTCATTCTGATCGATGAGATTCTCAAATTCATTGGAAGAAGGACAACTGGGTTACGACATTCTCCTGCAAATAAACCTTCGAAGCGTAAAAGTGATTGATTGATACAGCAATTGTATTACCATTTAGAAGTTCAAGATTACAACTTTCATAAGCGCTTTCGGCTGTTCTTAATTCTGTTAAGTTGCTCCGACTTCAGTTTTTTTTTGTCAAATTATGGTTTTAGTCCCCCTTCTATGTTAAAATTTAGTGTTCAGTTTTCCTACTTTGATTAGCCAAAATTAAAATCTTTTGTTTTTATAACTTCATTAGTTAGTCTAAATTGCTAATACTCATGATATTACGAATTAACATTCTGTTCTATGTTAAAAAAGTTAAATTAACAATGTCAAAATCAAATTCCATTGAAATCTGCATTCAAAATTTGAGTTTACAAATCACGGAAGCAAATAAGCAGGTCAACATATTAAATTCTGGATAATCCCAATAAAAACCCCTAATTACAATCCCTAACCATAAACTCAAATATTCTTGACAGCAAGACTTCAAATTCCCAATACAAAACCCTAAACCATCTAACCCCCAAATCCATACAAAGTTCTGCCCTGCCTCTTCAGTGCATAAACCACATCCATAGCAGTGACAGTCTTTCTCCTCGCGTGCTCGGTGTAAGTGACGGCATCGCGAATCACGTTCTCCAGGAATATCTTCAAAACACCACGGGTTTCCTCGTAGATTAAGCCGCTGATACGCTTGACTCCTCCCCTACGAGCCAAACGCCGAATGGACGGCTTCGTGATTCCCTGGATGTTATCACGGAGGACCTTACGGTGGCGCTTCGCTCCTCCCTTTCCCAGCCCTTTGCCGCCCTTTCCTCTTCCTGACATTTTGAATGCAAGATGTAGATTGAGAGAATTTTATGGAGACTGAAAACCTGTGGTTTTAAGACGGAAAAAATAGTGGGGTATTTATAGAAGGGTGATATGTGTATGTGATGATGAATTGAAGCCAACGATAAGTTGAAATGGAGGGCTGAGATGAGAAGGGTCGACGCGGATGGATGACGTGGAAATATTAGTACTTAATTTCAAGCGCTTTTTTTTTTGTCTTGCTGGTTGAAAGTCGAAAATGATTTTTGGATCGGACTTTGGAGGTGTTAATTGGGCAAAATATGTGGATTGGATCAGCGGCCCATGTATGAAGCTTCTTATAAATAAAATCTAGAATAAAGAAAGTAATTGTTTGAGTTTTATTTTTTAATATTTTACAAAAATTATTATAAATATCAAATTTTAATTGTTTACATTATACTGATTGTTAAAATATAATGATACGCATAATGATCGTATAATATAGATATCAAGATTTTATGTAAAAAAAACTCTTTCATCAAAAATTATAAAAAACGATAAATATCAGTAATATAAAAAAAATAAAGGATACAAGATGAATCCTTATGGATAATCTTACTTGTAATCATAATCTCTAATATTTATTTATAGAGATATTTACTTGATTACAAAGAAAACTTGTTTAGTAGAAATTTACTTAAAGTAAGTTTTATACTTTTAATCAACATAAAATATAATAGACTTCCAACTCTCAATCAAATTAAATTTCCTACTTTCAAACTCTAACATATATTAATAACACATATAGTTATCGAAGAAGGTCGATGCAATTATTGACGACAACTGATACACTTGTTGACAATAATTTTAGAGAAGAGAGAATAAGTGGGAGAAGAGAGAATGAAGAAAAAAAATATATTTTATTCTAAATTACTTTAAGTCATATCAGGTTAAACTCTTTTTTTAAACGTTAAACTTAATTTTGATTGATTATCTCTCTTCCAAAATTCATTTTTCTTGATCTGAATTTTATTCTTTTAAAAATAAATCTAATTTTTTAAGATTAAATCAAATCAAAATCTGTAAAAGATCGAGTTTTATATCTATCTTTAATTTTATATGATTGGCTCTTTAGTCCATCGTTGACTTTTCTAACGATATATATAACCTACTTATACTTATACTTATACTTATACTTATACTTATACTTATACTTATACTTATACTTATACTTATACTTATACTTATACTTATACTTATACTTATACTTATACTTATACTTATACTTATACTTATACTTATACTTATACTTATACTTATACTTATACTTATACTTATACTTATACTTATACTTGTACTTATACAGTCCAAGGAAAGAGTCTTGTTTTTCTCAGCCAAGTTTTTGTGTAGGGATGGCAAAGGTTGGGTCTGGTGCGGATATCTCCTCCCTCATTCTCATAGCCACCTAATATTTTTAAATCCGTCATCCGTCCATCACCCATGATGGGTAAAAATTTTCAAATTTACACCCGCCCACGCGGGTACATTCTCAAATCCATCTCCACGCCCACTACCCAACTGGAGACGTACCCAGCTAGACCCGCATGACAGCAATATTAAGTTATACATAAACAACAAAAATAAAACAAACACGTCCATTAAGAAGCATAATAAAATAAACCAACGATTATCTGAGTTAAGTGTTAACATAGATCTTAAAGTACATAAATTATAAAGTTATATCTTATACAATATTACGATTTATAAATTAGTCTATAAAATTATACCTAAATTCTTAATGGTCCAAAATTTAATGGGTATTTATTGGGATGGGCGGATGTGGGGCGGGTAAGGTCTCAAACCCATCACTCGCCCACTACCCGCGACGGATACCACTTTCAAAATCCACACCTGCCCACTACCCACTAAAGTTATACTCATCTCCACCCTAATTGGAGCGAATACAATATAAAATTCATGAAATTGTACCTGTTTGACATCACTATTGATGTGCCTTATCTCAAGACGGCCATTAGCCACTTGTTTCTCCATCACTATTCGTCAACCCCCCACCAACAATTCTCTTTTAAAGATTAATTGAATGAATCTGATAATTGCTTGTGTTATTTGGAAACGAACCTTAAATAGGAGAAACAATTCACACGCTATTACGACAATGGTCATGATATGATTGTTTTTACTATGAAAATTAATTTATTTGGCGCGCGCACACACACTCGGCGTAGTGGACAGCTGCCAAGCCTATTTCGTATGCAAAAAAATAGTTGATTTTCCATGTGAGAGGTCAAAGTTTTTCCTGTTTTTGATTATGTTGGGTTGATGAAGCCTTTCCAAATCAAAAAAAATGTGGAAGCTAGGAAACTTTCGTAAGTATGTGTTTACTTTTAGGCATTAAAATATTATAACATATATATACTTACATCGGTAAAATTATATGTTTATTTGGATTTTACACATCAACCCCAAACTGTAAAGAAAAAGATGTGAGGAAGGAAAAAAAATTATTTGTTTATAAAATAAACTTTTATTACTTGTAGGATAGTACAACACACCCATTTAATGAAGATTGGTATTTCCAACCCAATAGAGCTTTTAACCTCAAAAGTTTCAAAATCTCAGCTTTTGGATTTGGGTCTTAAATCATTTTTGAAACGCCAATTTTAGTAAAAAGATTGCACTTGTTTGAGATTGTTTTTAATTAAATAAGTGATTTTAAAGTGTCAAAAGTGGGACCTTAAGAAAAAAAAAGAGCCCTCACTTCTATGGATTGAAAGCATGATAGTTTTACTGAATCAGTAGAGGCATTGACCTTTACTCATGATCTACGTTTTGCGATTGAAAATGGTTGGTGGCGGGTCACCATCGAGGGCGATTCGATAGCCATCGTCAATCGGTTTGCAAACCGAAGAGATGACATATCGATCGTAGGATTACTGCTCAACGAGGCTCATGACATTTTGGCCAACAATCCAGACTTTAAGGTTTTCTACACAAATCGATAGTCAAATAAAGTTGCACATAGCCTTGCTCATTGGACCTTATCAAGGACCAATCTTTTTTGGTTCTACTACAATGATCAGAATATATTAAAGATATTGTAATTTCGGATACCATTGAATTTTAATGAAAGTTCGAACAATTATATATATATATATATATATATATATATATATATATATATATATATATATATATATATATAAAGCATGATAGTGTTAAAACATTAATCACATCACATGCATATGGGTCCATGAGTCACTCATTGTGTAGTGGCGGAACTGTTCGGGCTGTTGACCCTCCCAATTTCACCTTCCCTACAAAGAGCCTATACCTACACTTTGTTGCTTCACGGCCATATTTTCATTGTCTTTGTTCTCCTGAAATATTTGGTATTGCTATACAAATTTTGTAAGAAGTTCAAATGTCTATTTAAACCTACATAGGAAAATATATTTCATTTTAAAATATGAAGGAAAAAAAAGGATATTTTGATAATTTCATATTTGAAAGTACTATTTTTAATCATTATTGTTGAATTAAAAAAATTGGTTTGAAAAACATATTCCATCTAAATATTCAAATATGTCATATAACTTTCGATTAAAATTAATTAAAAAATTCAGTTATACTATTGAAATTGTTTAAAAATAATTAATTCAGTTCTTTTGTCACGTCATCATTCATACATTAATATTACATATGCATAGTGGACGTCATGTTAACATGGTAAACCTCCATGTATGAATTTTTAATTGTCACATCAATACTGTAACAATCAACGTTGGTCAAAAGACAAAATTGATGTAATTAAATGACTTTGAGGGTAAAATTGATATAATTAAAAATTGAATAAAATTGTTTAGGGTAAATTACGTGTTTAGTACCTAAACTATTACTTTTGTAATTTATTGTTACCCTAACTGTATTTTTTTTCAAATCATACTAAACATTTAGTTTAGGTTTCAATTTAGTCTCCTATAGTTAAAAAATTAACATAATTATTGATGTGATATTTTTTATTTTTTAATGATGACGTGACATAATCTTCTCAATATATTATTGTATCAATTTTATAATCGATCATATAATCTTCTCATCAAAAATTGACTACTAGTTACAAAAAATTCTAACTTTTAAATGATCAAAAGAAATGTATTTATAGGCCTTTTTACTCAAATATCACCTAATAAAAAATTACTCGTTTTAATATTCATATACGATTAGTTCTCAAATTTACACTCTTTTATGTCACATAGGCAAAGGTGCATTTTACAGGAAGTGCATTTTGCTGATCTTAGATGTGTTGGACTAAAATGAAAGAAAAGGAAAGAGAAAGGTTAAATAAATATATATATATATATATATATATATATATATATATATATATATTACTTTTGTAAAAAAATGCACATAGTAATACGTGTCGAAGACATGTAACTGCACAAGTCGAGCTAGGTGGTAGCAACAAGTAATATTAACATTATGTTAAATCACTCAATAAATATATATTTAAAAGTTTATATTTAAATAGGTAAAAACTCGCATATCTAAATATTATGAAATTTTAAAACTCCCATAAGCTTTCCAAATCCCGCATTGTTTGTACTCTCAGATCCCACATTGCTCGTACTCGTACGTAATTGTGTGTCTTCAACACATGCCGCACGTATTTGTTTAATTTTTAGACAAAATTCGTATGATATTTTCATATTTCTAGCTCTTTTTTCTTTCATTTTAGTCCAACATGTATGTGTTGTTGCCACATAGACAAAATATGTGTTCTATAGAATTGTCTTCTGTCTACGTGAAAGAAAATGATGTCAGATTAAAAAATAATCTTCAGTAGATATTAGAGTGCAATTTTTTTCTTCTTTTTTTAATTGTGAGAACTTTATTTAAATGGGATATATTTAAGTAAAAACGTCGTATTTATAATTGCAGAAAATTTTGATATACTTATGTATATACTCAATATTTTCTTTATCATATCAAATATTAGTAGGTCAACGAGAGTACAAGAGGTGGTGATACTCGATGTCAAAGTGATAAGGACGA